GTGTCCACTGGATGTCATGTCGGACAGACTCAACTATTTCTTTAGATCTTTAGATTTCTTTAGGTGTTTTAGATCCTTGACACTAAAATAAATTGCTGTCATATCGGGGACCGGTTGATAGATCATACCATCGATTTCACCTTCAAGAGCTTCATAGTGAATCATATTTTGGATGCTTTCCTCACAAGCTGGACCATGAAACATCTTATGGCACTTGCAGAATCCTTGTGTGGTGCCCTTGATGGGTTTACATTCTCCATGTTTACAATTCACGTCTGAGCAGGGAGGCTTCACAATATTTGCTTTGAGGAAGATACTAAAGTCTCTGTCGGGGACAAGAACTGCTGGTTCACACCTCAGCTCAATATCCGCCACATCTGTCTGTGCATAATCTGATGTTTTTTTAACAACAACATGAAGAAACTTTATGTGGCTGATAACATTAGCACCAAACCTGTGGAGCAGCTCTTCCTTTATTGTTGAACACCGCATGGTAAATCTCAAACCTGCCATTTCTTTTTGCAAACTGGATTGAATGTTGGCCTTTGTGTTTTGATCAACAGCAGAGCCCTTATCTTGATGAATTAGGTGAACCGATGTCTTTTCTTGAGCTTCAAAGTTAATTGACTGTCCAAAGGTAAACTCATCTTTGTTTGAGTGGGCAATTACTATCCATTTGAACCAGTGGAACTTCCTCTCTAAATGTTTCTTAATATCTGTAGCTAGATTTTTAGTACTTGAGAATCGTTGATTGCTAAGTTTCAAAGCGTCCTTATGAGCCCATGTCTCAAAGCCATCAGCACACTCAATCAAGGCATCCTGTATGGCTGATAAAGTGTTGGACAGTTGTATGACTGCTTCTTCTGCCTTTGCTGCAGCATCATAGCCCTTTAGTTTGTAATAAAACACATTTAACTTTAGTCCTGAAACCATCAGAGTGGTGAAGTAGGTGGTGTATTGGACCAGGACATTAAAATCACCATTGGATTTCTCAATGATGAGCTGTAAGAGATTCTTATTCAAGCTGACAGGATTGTTCTCAGTGATGTATCTGTAGAAGTTAGCAACACTGTTCTCTGTGCCAGTGTTTTCATAGAAAGTGGTGAACCTCTCGGCCAGCCTGGTCTTCTGTTCCTGTGTGGAGGCAACAGGAGCGGTCTTTATGAATTCTGTCAGCTTGGCCCAGGAGTTCTTGATCACATTCTCATCTTTGCCATAGCTGCTAGCATAGTTCGTCCATTTCATTTCTGTTTGCAGGGTTGAAATTTGAATGGAGAGAGAGTCGAGTTTACGGTTGATCTCGGCAAATTGTTCCTTCATGAATTCAAACATTGGGTTCGATTGTGGAATGAATGCAAAGATGAAGCTAATTAATGCCCCAATAAAGCCAAAACTTGCTGCAACTTTGCCAAGAGAACTAAAGACTTTGAGGACTTTGAGGAGTGAGTCACGAGCTGTGTCTTCCTTTTTTTTAAAAACAAATTCAGCCAAATCATTGACACGTTGGAGAAATTCTTTAGACAATGTCATGCCCTTCTCTACTCGACTGACTTGTGAGACTTTAAGTCCAGCTGTGCCGAAACAGCTGTATACAACCAGATAAAGGATAGTGAGGAAAGTCTTCCCAGTAGCCATGCTTAGACAGCAGACAGCTTAACCTGCAAATCCATTAAATGTGTAATTAGAAGCATTGAATGTCACTGGCCTGGCATGGTGTCACTTCACAATAAGGCCACACACTGTCCATTGTTTGCTATTCAAGCTACACTACAGAGGATTTCTTATTTTATTGAGTCAGTATATAATAGGGTTGACCTCAACTAAAGATTTTTCTAGTTGACTAGTAGTCGTTCATTTAAGCCATCAGTCAACTAATCACGCGTTTATATTGCCATAAATCATAATAATGATTGTGAGTGTGTCATGAAAAAAAAGGAGGAGACTAAGTATATGCTGAGTTTCGGTTCATTTTTGTGCCGTGCTCAAGTTCACTGAGACAGAGACGGCAGAAACCACATCCTGATTGTTTTCATTATTTTACAAAAGCAATAGGACCAAAATTACCTATTTTAAGTTAAATGCAACTGATCGCGACCAGCGCCTGTATGTCACGCAGTATGCGTGCGCTCCACAGAAGCATGGATATGCCTAACGCCTAATAATAGCGCATTTATCTAGGTTAACATTAGTGTGAGCAGACTTGTAAAGTTGCTACTGTAACAGAGTGAAAAGGTATGTTAAATTATTGCATAAATGGGGACAGCGCCATCTATGTGGTGCGTGATGTGATTTAGTGTGTGGAGTAGGGACCGCCCACAGCAGAGTTAGGCCCAATCCCAATTCTATTTTATACCCCTTCCCCTACCTCTCCGCCTACCCCTTCCCCTTGTCCCTGGAAACAGAGTGTCAAGGGGTAGGGGTGAAAATATTCCCCTAAGAATTGGGACACCACTACTATGTCGTCACATGTCATCATACGTCGTCTAGCTCCTACAATACACACAGCTATACTGGTGTGCATTAGAGCCTTTAATTACCGTTCTATATTAATGCGTTGCTTACTGACATGCACACACACACACACACACACACACTGTGCTTACATTTATGTGTCTTTTTGTTTGCTCGGGCGGCCATGTTGCCCCTGAAGCCAGTTTACGCAGAGATAATTCATACCCCTTCGTTTGAAGTGTGGTTTCGAAAAACCCCTTACCCCTACAACCAAAAGAGAATCGAGACACCCCTACCTCTTCACGTAAACACGCGAAACGGAGGGGTAGGGGAAAGGGCTAAGGGGTAGAATTGGGATTGGGCCTTAATGACGCATTGCTGTGGGTAAATTGCACGTTTTCCGCGGTCTGAGAATTACCATTTACAAGTGTCCAAAACACACAAATATTTGCTTTATTGTGATTGTATCTTTCAATGAATATGTTGGGACTCTGTTAAGCCTTGTTTGGCGTCGAGCGTGTTGCTCAATATTGAGTTATAACGCGTTTATATTACGAGGCATGATTGTAATCAATTTGTGTGTTGTCTTGTGTTTTATGTAGAAATGGTTTATTCTCTCTCTGAATCAGTGAAACCCTATTATACACACTGTCTCCATTGTGCAGGTATGTTGTTAAATATGTTGTTAAAAGTTTGTGTTAAATTGCTTTATTCAAAATGAGTTACTCAAGTTCTCTGCTAGGTGGGGATGTTTCCCTTAACTGTGAGTTTAATTGTATTGCTCTGTATTTCATTGAGGATCTTCATTCATTGATTTGTGATTTATGATTAATAGATTAATAACATTAAATGTGTGTGTCATCTATATTCAACCCGTTACAACTGAAACACTATACAATCACAAAGTTAAAAAGAATTTAAGTGACAGAATTAAAAAAAGGAGAACTGTTTTCAAATAAACAGAGCAGAGTTAATGAAGCATTGCTGAGGAAATGGTTTATTCTCTCTCTGAATCAGTGAAACCCTATTATACACACTGTCTCCATTGTTAACGATGGGTTAATGTGTTACTTTGAGGGTCCAACCAACTGTCGAAGTTTGCCGAGGACTGAACAAGAACCGAATGAGCCGTGGCGAAGACTCTGATTGAGTTGACGATACTGTGCAAGCCTGAGGAGCGTACTGGAAATATGCTTATTATGACTGTTATTAATTTACATTTTATTAAAACCTGCAAAAACCTTTCTGTCGAGTGATGTAAATACATTTTACTATAGTTTGTGCATGCATATTATAGTTAAAGTTGCTTAAGCGAAATCAAGGAGTTTATAAGACTGGTTTATTCATTCTTTATACGGTAGACATGTAGAACATATCCGCGTTTATGCATCAATGTCTGTAATGTGTGCTGGAGGTGTGAAGCTCTTAGGAATCTTATCCAAGTTGTAGGCTAGTCAGTATTGCTCAGTCAGTCGTATCTGAGGAGCCGCGAATGAAAACATTAACTTAAGTGAATTATATGGCAATAATCAGCAATATGCTTTCACAAATAATATCAATATGTGTTGACACAAATGACTTACTTGAATTTTTCATTGATACAACATTGCACTGAGTTGTTAGAAACTAAATGCGTAGAGACGTTATTGCTTGATGACGTCAGGAACCGATGAATCGGCTGTTTGAACCGGTTCAATGAGCCGATCTGTCCGAAAAGAACCGATTCGTGGAAATGAATCGGACTTTGCATCATTAATGCACTGTAGATGATGAGATTGGCAAAGTCTTTGCAATTTGACGTTGAGGAATATTGTTTTTAAAGTATTCCACAATCTTCTTATGCACTCTTTCACTGATTAGAGAGCCTCTGCCCATCTTTACGTCTGAGAGACTCTGCTTTTCTAAGACATCCCGTTTATAGCTAATCATGTTACAGACACTGTTCTCCCAGCTGAATCTTTTCTAAATTTCTGGCTTTTTCAGCTCTTTGTTGCCCCCGTGCCAACTGTTTTGAGACCTGTAGCAGGCATCGAATTTGAAATGAGCTCATTTAGTGGATAAAAGTGTCAGATTTCTCCGTTTAAACATTTGTTATGTTCTATTGTGAATAAAATATTGGCTCATGTGATTTGAAAGTCTTTTAGTTTTCATTTTATTCAAATTAAAAAAAGTCCCAACATTTCCGGAATTCGGGTTGTATATATGGACCTAACTGTATGTATATATATATA